AAAAAAAAAAAAAAAACAGGCAAAAAGGCCAGGGGCAGTGACTCATGTCTATAATCTCAGCACTTTGGGAGGTCTAGGCAGGAGGATCTCTTGAGGCCAGGAGTTTAAGGCTACAGTAAACTATCACCAGGCCACTGTACCTCAACCTGGACAACAGAGCAAGACCCTAACTCTAAAATTTAAAAGAGGGGGCAAAATATTTGAACAGACATTTCCCCAAAGAAGCTGCACAAAGAGCAAGCAAACACATGAAAAGGTGTTGACACCATTTGTCATTAGGGAAATGCAAATCAAAGCCACAGCGAGACACCACTTTATACCTATTCGTGTGGCTATGATTTAAAAAGCAAGTGTTGCCAGGTGCGGTGGCTAATACCTATAATCCCAGCACTTTGGGAGGTGGAGGTGAGAGTATTGCCTGAGCTCAGGGGTTTGAGACTAGCCTGGGCAAGTCAGCGAGACCTTGTCTCTACAACAAATAAAGAAATAAAAATTAGCCAGGTGTGGTTGCACACACCTGTGATTCCAGCTATTTGAAAGGCTGAGGCAGAAGTACTGCCTGAGCCCAGCAGGTTGAGGCTGTGGTGGCTGAGACCACTGCACTCCAGTCTGGGTAACAGAGTGAGAATCCAACTTAAATAAATAAAGCAAATGTTGCCCATATGAGGAGGAATTGGAGTTCCTTGCACATGGCTGGGGGGATGGAAAATGGCTCAGACCTTGGGAAAGCAGCTTAGCAGTTCCTCATGTGGTTACACATCCAGTTACCAAATGACCCAGCGGCTACACTCCTAGGAATATGCCCAGGACAAAGGGAAACGTACATTCACAGAAAACCCTGACCACGAGTGTTCCTGGCAGCATGATTTGTAACAGCCACATAGTGTTGATGCCCAAATACACCTGCTGTGATGTGGGTGAGTCTTGAGATCACACTCAGACACAAAACAAAATCTCACACATTGCATGATTCCATTTAGTTGTTTTGTGGTTATTTTTGTTGTTGTTCTATTGAGTCGGGGATCTCTCACTGCATCACCCAGGCAGGAGTGCTGTGGCATGATCACCACTCACAGCAGCCTCAACCTCCTGGGCTCAAGCAGTCCTCCCATTTCGGCTTCCCAAAGTGCTGGAATTACAAGCGTGAGCCACTGCACCCAGCCACATGATTTCATTTCTATGAAATGACCAAAATAGATAAATCCCTAGAGTCAGAAAGTAAATTAATGGTGCCAGCAGCTGCAGGAGAGGGGAGAAACGGAGAGTGACTGTTAAAGCATATGGGATTATGGGGTTTCTTTATGGGATGGCCAAATGTTGTGAAATTCAATTGCGATGCCAGTTGTATAACCTTATGAATATACTGCAAACTTTTTTTTTAGTTGGACTTTCACCCTTGTCACCCAGGCTGGATTGCAGTGGCATGCTCACGGCCACCGCAGACTCAACCTACTGGACTTAGGTGATCCTTCCACCTCTGCCTTCCAAGTAACTGGAACTACAGATGCACACCACCACGCCCAGCTAGTTTTTGTGATTTATTGTAGAGACAAGATCTTACCAAGTTGCCCAGGCTGGTCTCGAACCCCCGGGCTCAGGCAATCCTCTCACCTTGACCTCCGCTGGCATTACAGGCTGAGCCACCGTGCCCAGTCTACTCCAAACACTTTAAGGCCGGAAGCAATGGCTCACGCCTGTAATCCCAACACTCTGGGAGCCTGAGGAGAGAGGACTGCTTGAGCCCATGAGTTCAAGACCAGCCTGGGCAACGTAGCAAGACCTCTTCTCCATAAAACACAAAAAATGTAACTGGGTGTGGTGGTGCACATCTGTAATCCCAGCTCCTTGGGAGGCTGAAACAGAAGGATCACCCAAGCCCAGGAGGCTGAGGCTGTGGTAAGCCATGATCATGCCAGTATACTCCAGCCTGGAAGACAGAGTGAGGCCCCAACTCAAAAAAAACCCAACCATTTTAAAGGGTGGGTTTTTTGGTATGTGATTTATACATCATTAAAGCTGTTACAAAAGAAAGAGAAAGAACACGAGAGCAAGAAAAATGGAGAGATCGAAAGAGAGAGAGACAGAGAGAGAGTGAGAGTGTGCACGAGAGAGAAGGGGGGGCAGCGAGAGAGTAAGAGCAGGAGAAAGAGCGAGGGAAAGGGAGAAAGCAAGGGAGAGAGAGAGAGAGAGAGAGAGAGAGAGAGCGTGCTCACATCTTCATGTTC